TACAGAGGAGCCTTGATGATGGCACAGGGGTTAAAGATTTTGACTGTTAACGAAAAGGTCAGCTGTTTGAACCTAGCAACCACTCCACAGAAGGGTGAGGTTGTCTGCTCCCATTGACATTCCCAGCTTTGAAAAACCCTAGGAGAGTTCTAAGCTGCCCAATGGAGTTAGAATCAACTCGATGTCAATGGGTTTATGGGAATCTTTGATTTTCCGTTCAACCTCTCATGTACATTTTGTTTTGTGACATTGATTACAATACCTACTGTGTACTCGCACTGGTCTAATTTCCTCATGATTTTTATTTCTTTTATCCAGTTTTTGAGAATCTCAATGGAAGCAGCAGACTGCGCTACTACTTCCTACAGGGCAGCTGCTGGATTTGAGCTTCTGACCTTTTGGTTAGCACTTGAGCTCTGAGCCACTGCACCAGTAGGGCTATTCAACAATGTTTTGCCTAATAAGAAAAAAAAAATTGCTGGATGCCTTCAAGGGGAATGATGTATTGTTTAGAGCATTTCCTTCTGGCAGTCTGATTCTAATCTCTGTGTCCTCTGAGTTATTTGACACACTAAGTTGTGAAGATTGATGGTATTGCAAACAATTGTTGTCCCTGGACAAGCAAATAAATTGTGTCAAGAGCGGTTCAATGGACTTCACTCTTGTGCTGCGAAGAAGGCAGCTTTGTGTCCACTTGCTAATTCTCATCAACATTCCTGATCCATAAATATCTCTGTTCTTTGATTTTTCATTTTGAGCTAGTTACAACATCAGTCTGATTCTTCATTAATATTGAGTTAAAATCATTAGCAACAACTCATTTTTAATTGGAGACTCATGATATTACCTTTTTTGAAAAATTGTCTTCTCCCCCCCACCCCGAAAAAAAAATTAGACTTTAATTTCAGGGTGGTTTTAGGTTTAGTGAAACATGGCCTGGACTTTAGAGTGGACACACTCAGATATTCTCCCCCTCTGCACAGCTTGTCCTTTTATCTTGCATTCCTGTGGAACATTTGTTACAATTGATGAACCAATATTCACGTCCTACTGTTAACTGAAATCCATCGCTTACATTGTTGTTGTTGTCAGATGCCACTGAGTCGATTCCAATTCAGAGCTATACCATGCACTACAAATGAAGACCTAGCCCGATCCTGAGCCATCTCTGTTCTGCTCAAGCCCTTAGTTGCAATCACCGAGTCAATGTATCGTGTTGAGGGTCCTCCTTTCCTTCGCTGAAGCCCCACTTCTCTAAGCACGGGGCCCCCCTCCACAACTGGCCCCTTCTGACAATATGCCCAAAGTACGTGAGGCAAAGTCTCATCCTCCTTGCTGCTAAAGGGCTCTCTGGTTGCATTTCCCCCAGGATATATTTGTTTGTTCTTTTGGAAGTCCTGGGATGTTCTATACTGGGCCAATGCTGCAATTCAAAGGCATCAATTCTTCTTTGATCTTCCTTAGTCATGACCTGGCTTTCACATGTATATGAAGCAACTGAAAAAGACATTAGGGCTCAATTCTGAGACATTTTCTTGGCGGGAAAGACATTAAGGTTCACTTTTTAAAAATTGTTTTCTTGTGGTCAAACATTCTATAACTAAATGTTTACCAATTCACTTTTTTCCCCCCAATGACCTAGGTTATTTTCATCAGGTAGTGCAACCATCAGCGCTATCCACATCCAGATGACTCCACCACCACTGACAGAACTCAGTGTTCCTGAAGTTAACACCCCTCTTTCCTTCTTCCTCCCACCTCAGTAACTATCAATAAGCTTTGTTCTTTATACATTTGCCTGTTAAATGTAAGCGGTACTATACAATATTTGTCTTTTTTATGGCTGGCTTATTTCACTCAGTTTTCTTTTCCCCAAGATTCATTCATGTTTAAACATGTTACAGGACATTTATTTCTTTTTAATTTATCATTTTTAAAAGTTTTATTATTTTTTGTGTGTGTGCTGTCAAATCTTATCTGAATGGTACAGGAGGAGATTGCTCCTCCTTCTCCAGCAGAGCATCTGGTGGATTCAAACCACGCACCTCTGGGATTGCAGTACAGCTTCTTGCCACTAGGCCACCAGAGCTCCCTAGGACATTTCTTTTAATGACTGAGTTGCTGTGATGCTGAACCTTGTGCTCTTGGGGTGTCAAATGCTATAACAGTTATCCATGGTGGACAGTGTTTGGGGGAGCTCCCAGTTTAAGATAGGTTTGGAAGCAGGAGTGGCAACCACTTGCTAAACAACATGCCTCCAGAAACTCTACGAACTTTGATAAAGTGTCAATAGTTTTTGTTTTTTTTTTTAAATTTTTTAATTTTCTTTATTCTGGAAAGATAATGGTCTCATTATCTCTCTTTGAAAAGAAAAATTCTTACATAAAAAGAAAAAATGTGGTAAATTATTCTAGATTTTTAAAATATTATATTTCCCAAATTATACCTCTATTTGCAAGGCTCTGTGTGGGAGTTTGGAGGCTGGCCAGTGGTCAATGAGTCCAAAGAGACAACACTAAACCAGTACAATGATCCCAAGATACTTTTTGGCTGCAGGATATTTGTGTGAATAGCAAAATCTGAATGAAAAACACAGACAGATACTGCTACCAGACACAGATGGAATCTATACACACAATGTATAGCAGCCGCTAAAGTGTCAATAGTTATAGAAAGGCTTCAGGCCCTTTGTTCACAGGGTTGCTATGAGTTGTGCTCGACTCGGAGGCAATCAATACCAACAACAGTATACCATGAGCTGCCAAAAGGACAAACAAATCAACCTTGAAGAAGTGCAACCAGGGTGCTCCTTAGAGGCAAGGATGGTGAAATTCTGCCGTACTTATTTTGGGCATGTTATCATCCAGGCCTTGGAGACAGACTGGGAAAGATAGTGAAAGAGAGGAAGACCCTCAACGAGACGGATTGATGCAGTGACTACCAGAATGAGCATGGCAGAAATCAGGAGGATGGTGCAGGATGGGAAAAGGTTCAGATTTGTTGTTCATAGGGTTGCTAAGAGTCTTGGTTGACTCCACAGCCCCTAGCAATAGCAATATTCCCTTATGTGGATGTACCATGGTTTGTTTATCCACTCATCTGTTGATGGTCTTTTCAGTTTTTTCCATCTTTTCACTCTTGTGAAATGAGCTGCAATAATTGATGTACAAGTCTCATTTTGAGTCTCTGTTTCAAGTTTTTAGTGTAGATACCTTGGTGTGGAATTGCTTGGTCATTTAGTGAGCGTTGATGGTGTGGTCGGTAAAGAGTTGAACTGCTAACCCAAAGGTTTGAATCCATCAACAGTTCTATGGAGAAAAATGGGCAATCTCCTCCTGTGCAATTTACAACCTCTGAAAACCTGCTGGAGGGTCAGCTACTGTGAGCTGGCTCCACCTCAAAGGTAATGAGTTAGAAGCTCATCTTACGACTGTCTTCTTGAAGAGCTGTCCACCTATTTGCATTCCCTCTAGCAATGGATGAGGATTTAGGGAGTTTACTCTTTAAGTTATATATTCCTGTGGGTTTTGACAAATGTTAGTGGGCATGTGTCATTGAACACCGACTTCCCCACTTGAAGTAGCCTCCAACTGGACTGTGTCATTTTATTATCTGTAGAGTTGTATCATCGCCTGACACTACCTTCCTTGTCCATGTCTTTCTTGGTAAAGCTTGCCCTTTCCCGGTATTGGTCTCTGTGTTTGGCAAAGACTCAAAATAAATAGAATAAATTTTACAAAAGCCTGAAACAGTGTAAGGTAGAAAGTGGGGCAGACAGGAAAATTCAAATATTTTTCTACTTGATGGAGAGTGATAGGAAAGCGTATGCACACCCAGGTTTATTGTGGCTTTGCTCACAATAGCAAAGAGTTGGAAAGAGCCCGAGTGCCCATCAACAAACAAATGGATAGAGAAGCTCTGGTATATTCACACAATGGAATATTATGCA